TGCTTTGCAGGTGATGGTGGTCCTCATCGTCAACAGGGAAGAGAAGAAAGGAGGAAATCGTTCCATACCCTACTGTCTGCGTGGATTCTTGCGGTGGATCGTGAGCCCACACGCTGCTAGTGACAGCAATGCATGGAGAAGACGCGCTGCCACTGTTTCTATTATCCCAGAAGGCTTCCCTGCAGTTTTTGTATTTCTAGGGGTGTGTTGTGTAATTTTTGAATTGTTAAGGTCTTGTTTGGGTAATTTTAATTTTTGTTATTTTGTAACATGGCAAGTGAACAGTACCGCCGCAAGCAAAAAACTTTTTTTTTTGTTTTTTTTTTTTTTTTATAAAATCAAAAGGATAAAAAAATTAATTTAATATAGTCAAGTATGTGAAGAACAAATAAAATCAAGTTGTATTTCCCGTGAAAATATAAGAACATGTTTCTACATATTTTTTTGGAATTTAATAACTGATTTATTAAAGCCTTAAGAATTTGACTAATATGTGGTTTGTTGACTTTAATTACGATTAAGGGTGATGTTTGTGTTTTATGACAAAGAAAAATATAAAAAATATTTTTTGTGTGTTGTATACGGTCAATACTCTAACATTTTTTGAATGTTTTTTAATAAAAAAAGAGCAGCAAATATTTGAAGTTTTGAAAATATATTTTTGCATAGATTTCTTAAACACAAAAATTATTTTCTTGCATTCTGGATTTTACAACATGTTTGTAAAACTCCAAATGGTGTTAGCCAATATTCCAAAAAATATAAAAATCTTATTTTTTGAGGGAATTTATTTATTATTCACCGTTAATGTTTGGATAAAGAAATCCCTAAAAGATGAATATCCAAAATATTATTGGGAATAATTTGTTATTATTCGCTATTAATATTTGGATAAAGAAACGCAAGTGGTTAATATCCAAAATATTTTTCTAGAAATAACAAGTCAACACATATCCTTGAAAGAAGCCTCGATTATAATTGAGGACATTTCAATTTTTAACTCCACGGTTTACGAGCCATCAAAGTATGAAACACTAAGACAAAATGAAGCTTTTAAAGCGCTCTGAATTTTCTTAGATTTCTAAATTTTACCTCTCCTCCTTATGATTTACGAGTCGCAAAAACTCTTGAAATACTAAGGGAAAAATGAGTTTTTAAAGCATGTGGAATTTTCTTGGATTTCTATCTTAATAAATTTAATGTGAATCAAACCTATGAAAACTGATGGGATTAGAAAACTCCAACACTATAGTAATTATAAGGTAAACCAAACACCAAGCGGCTTACCTTAGGTAAGCCGTACTAGTGGTGTTAATACCTTTCTTTTACGCAACCAGTTCCTTGTCATAGAATCTTTGAAAGACCAGTTAGGTTTCCTAGTGACCATAATACTAGGTAACGACTCCCTTTGTCCATGAATCAAAACAAAGACCCTGAAATCAATCGAGGATCGTCACGCTCCGCTCGCAGGGGTGCGACAGTCCCATAAATTTATCCATATGTAACAAATATAATCAAACACTAATCATAAATTAATCAAAGCAAAATAAAACATAAATTTATATTTATTAGGTTATGTTATAATTCCTTTGTTCCCTTCCCATTCTCCCATTCCCCTTACCCTCTCGGTTTCTATAATTCCCCATTTCCCCTATCATATAACATTCCCCTCATCCTCTTGGTTTCTATAATTCCCCATTTCCCCTATTATATAACATTCACTCCTCATTTCCCCTGTTATATAACATTCCCCAATTGCACCGTTCCCATTTCCCTCTCCTCTCGGTACCACTTCCCTTGTTCCTTTCCCCTGTTCCCATTCCCCTCTACCTCTTGGTCTCCCCCATTCCCCTATTCCCCCTTCCTATCAATTTCCCCCATTCCCCTGTTCCCTCTCCCTCTCGGTTTCTCCTCCCTCTCTTCCCCGGCTACTTGTTCTGGTAACGCTGTGACTTGAAATAAAAAGAGAGCAAGGGTTGATTTTCAACACATTAACGGGTCCCCCCCATTTTACTTTGCCTCTCTCTTTCTGTTTCCACCCTGGATATGGTAGCCGGATCCAAGGATAGGATAACAGGGAGGGGCTGCTTTTTACTCGGGAAGTTTGGGGATTTTGCAAAAGGATATTCACAGTTAAGTCTCTCTTAGTTAACAGAAATCGCCCCCCCTCGTTTTGCCTCTCTTTGTTCACAATAATCTCCCCCCCCCGCCCCCCGGTTTTGCGTCTCTGTTTGGTTAGAAATTCCCCTCTTGTTTGGTTAGAAATTTGTGCTGCCGATTGTGATTGATGAAGAAGAAAACAGTCATGGTAAAAATGTTTTTTTTATGGGTTGCTTGATGAATTTTATTAGTTTTAACTATTGAACGTGACAAGATAAGAAGAAAAAGAAAACTGTGTTATGAAAATGTTATGGAAAAAATATGACAAGTAGCAAATTTATCAAAAATATCAAAGGATTTATGCCATAATTTTTACAGATCCAAACAAAGAAGAAGATAAAAACATAAAGAAAATAATAAAGGAAAAAAAATACCTGAAAAAAAACTGTTACAGATCTGAACTATAATCCTTCAAACCATTTGCTTAACCCGTTTGATTGTAACAAAAAATGGAGGTGATGAACAAAATACTCTCTGAGAGCAACGCAAAAAATAAGCGACTTGAATTTCCGGCTAGGAGTCTCTCGGCCTTCCCCATGCTAGATGGTCAGAACTCGGTCCAATTTGTGGCATTTGACATGAACGAACAGCAATGGAGTCTTAAGGTCTCCATCCGCAATGAAGGTAAGTATTCGAAACCTTGGCTAAAGGGCGAAATGGATAACTATGTTCATCAGAAAGGGCTCAAGAAAGGAGATAAAGTTATCTTGACAATGCACTTAAAGTATCAATAACTCCTTAACTAAAACATGTTTTATAATAATATATCTAATAATATAAGATACCTTTAATTTATGGTAAATGTTCATTTTAAATGCAGGCCTATCACATAAATGAAAATATTGACTGATGACTTTAAGAACTTAAATTGCAAGGATAAAGAGATGGCCAAACTTAGAAAAGAGATGTCGGTGCAATCCAAACCAGAACACTATTCGGTAATTGG